GTCCAAAGTAACAAAAGCCAAAGTCGTCAGTACGAATGCAGTATCAAGTCCAAAGTAACACAAGCCAAAGTCGTTAGTACGATAGTTACACGAATACGAGAGATGCGTTTTAGACGAAGAAACGATGCGTACTAAATGTTGTGAACGAACGACCCCTCAAGCGTCACTATCCGTCTCGCTCATCCTACAAGTCGAATGTCAATCTGTCTCACTCTAGAGTGAGACAGACTGTCAGCGTCACTATCTATCTCATTCTATCACTTTTGTTCATTACACACACTCGAGACTCCGATACTTTTTGTATTAACATACAAAAAGTATCAATTATTATTTTTGAAATGCGCTCAATTTGAAAAAAAAATAAGAAATATTTTTTTAAAGGCAAGAAAAGTAGCAAGTGTTGCACCATTTTAAAATCTTGATTAAATGCGCCATCTTTTGAAATAACTTGCCAAGGGTAGTGTAGTACATTTTTTTTTCAATATGAAGTGTCAAAGTTTACTAACAATATTTTTGTAAACGATTACTCACTAAAACTTAACTTATTTTATTAAATTAACGATGTTTTTTGCATTAATTTGTAGTTGCGATTAACAGCATATTTAATGAAGATCACAAAATTAAAAAAATCACTGCGATATTGTGACATTGGTGATCACAGGTCTTGAAAACACGACCAAGGGTGTCGAATTTCAACTTTTTATTTAAATTGTCTATTATCGCTGAACTGAGTGATATGGATTTTTTTTATTATTTTTCCCAGTACTGGTATAACTTGGCTTTTCATCTGGTCTCAGATTATCGTTGAGTTTTGGGACACCCTGTATATTAAATGAGAAGTTACGTTAATGAAAATAACCTGGAAGCAAATACAAGTAAAAGTATGACTGTGAAAGAGAAATTACACCGCACGTTGGGACATGTAAACTTCAATAATTTAGAAAGGATGTGCAGAAATGAAACATTAGAAGGACTGCCTAAAGAGATTGAACCGGAATATTTAAAATGTGCGACATGTATACAAAATAAAATGCATAATGCAGATGATATACTACAGATAGTTCATACAGATTTGTATGGTCCTCATCAAACACTACAAAAGTCAAACTACAAAAGTCAAACACACAACAAATTAAATACAAAATAATTCAGATTCATAAGATGATGAATACATTTATTGATTTCATCAATTAAAATACCTCTTGTCTAATAAATGAATATAGGCGTGAATACAATTTAGAGAATAAGTTTGTTTAGTAAACTGTAACTTAAGATGTAGGTTATTTAATAATTAATATTCGTATTACAGGTAATATAATTTACTAATCTAATAATTACTATTTAATGTGTCATACAGTAAATTTCTAATTTTAGTATTTGTTGACATATTAATAACTCCAACATTGTTGAAAACTTTACTTACCTCAGTCCAACCAATCGAATACGTGAAGTAAACACAAATATGAGATGAGATTTTATTATCAGTGATCAATAACGGTGTATTTATGAAAAATCCACTTCAATTTCTTCAATCCACAACAGCAAATGTAATACGTAATGCAATTAATCACCATTTAATATTCTATATTGCAATATTTTTAAACATAAAAAAAGCGCCAACCGACATACGTGACGCGACCGACATTGACATATGAAACAGTTTTTTTTTATTGTCACTAGAGACACTACCATAGAGTATACACATAGACACTACCATAGAATAATACCAAAAGGAAGACACTACTCACTGCACTCTTACGCAGTGTTGCCAACATTTTTAAAATACAAGTTGGGTTGTCCGTAAGAGTAAAATTTTAGTGGT